CCCAAAAAAAAAAGTGTGGATATAATTCTGTATACCTGGGTCTGGTAGTTCCAGATGCAAACAGTCCCTGAATACAAACTTGCCAATATCCTGCAACAAGTTATACAAGGAATGAGCAGCAAATAACTCAAACTATAATTAAAAAGTAGCTAAGCACCCTCATCATCCAAAGAAAACTATGTAACCAAACTCGGCATAAACCCCCCATCCCCAATCAAAATAAGAGTGATAAATAAAACTTCCCGTTATACTAATACTAACAATATGTCACTCTAACATAAGACAATCTTGAAATGGAAAAGAAACATATCCACTAAAACTGAAAAGACGTCTATTAAGGAAAGTCCAATTACCATGGCTCTGTAGGATGTAGATCCACGCACTTTACCCTTTCTGATCTTTGAGCAAGTTTCCTCTGAATCAATTAATTACAGTCAGCACGAAATGCATTGGTGGATACATGAAGATTATAAACATTTTCAAATATGCCAAAAAGCATAGTACCTTAATCTCCAACCTCAGAGGCTGAGCCATTTCCAATTCGAGATTATAACCAAACGCAAGCAGGAAGCGAAATTAAGTCAGTAAATAACAAAGTGCTGGATCTCAAATTAATATTCTAATTAGAGAAAACAACATCCTTACAACGGTGATCAGTTACCGCAACCAAACCGAATCGGATTTGAATCAGATCTAAGTTGTAACGTAACGTTGAAGCAATGAGAAATACTGAAACTAACAAACTCACCATTTTCAAATATGAGAATTCTCCGAAAGAGGAACCGAATGAGTGATTGGTATTGAACAACCCTAAGAGATTCGAGCGAGATCAAAGTGGCGAAATCAGTACTAGCACACTCAGCTGCAGAGATCTTCCAATTCGAATTGAAGTGAGTGAGAGAGCAACGAAAGGAGATCAAGATTAGTAGTAGAGGTTTTGCTCAGCGCAACCCCTGTAAAGCGATTGGCAGAAAGAGGGAATTATATGACGATGATGATCCTTTTTAGTTGAGTTAATACATTAGAATTGCCAATTTTGTTTTCGTCGACTTCTTGTTGTTGCTAATATTGACCGTAGATTTGCCAATGTAGCATGATCTAACGGCCTATCTTACTATTTTAGCGTGGCTAATGTTAGTAGTGCTTGCGTTCACTAAGAAAACATCTACTTGTCATATTTCTTCAACTGACAATAATTACATTGGAATATTTTACAATTTATATCATCCTAAATTGCACACTCCTAATTGTTAAAAATTTGTGCGTCAAAATTTTTGGCCATGCCTCTCGGGCTAGCAGAAGCGCGAGGGAAATAATATTTGTCAAAGATAGTTTAAGGGGTCACTCTTTGTATTGTTAATCTTTTTAGTGTTGATTGTGAAAGCAAATGAAGTTACCTTTATCGTGCTAATAAATAGCATAGTCTTTCCCATGTGAAGTAATGAAGTTAAAAAAGTTATTTATGTTAATAAATATAGTTTAAAGTAACAATATAGGATAAGGAAAAATAAGTAAAGAGATATATAGAGAAAGAGAGGATTCTTTCTCACCAAATTATTACTCAAAAGTACTTTTCAAATTAATTAGCCAAACATAAACTGCTTCTCACCAAAAGTACTTTTGAGAAAAATTACTTCTCAAAATAAGTAGATTTTAGAAGCTTGGCCAAACAGGCTAATAGTTTCTTCACAAGATCGATGCACAAGTAATTAAACACATATTAACGGCAGAAGCTAGAAGCATAAAGAAAATATAAGCTTCTTCATAGTATCTCTCAACCTTCCCAATGAAGTTTTGAACATACAATCTTTCTCATAATCATTCCTTCATCATAGCTAATGATGTGTGGCTATAATTCATGGTTTTTGCACATTATATACTTTGCATTTTACATGCTTTAATGTTAAAATATACTTTCTTTGAGCATAATGGAGGCTATTTTATGTGTAGGTGCATCAGAAATGAAAGTAGAATTAAAGGGATGCTTAAACGTCGAAAGTGCGCTCAAGAACGGTGAAAAGGAGAAGCCGGGCAAAAGCCAGCTCGACCAAGCTTTATCCAGGTGAGGCCAGCTTAAAGCCAGGCCTAACCATGTTTTATCCAAGTGAGGCCAGCTTAAAGCCAGGCCTAGGCTGGCGTTATCCAAGCGACGCCAGGCCTAAGGCCAGGCTCAATCCGAGTTTTGAAGGTTTTAATTGTTTTTCGGCTTGACTAGGAGTTGACCTACACGTTTAGGGCTTGTCCCGAACATATAAATAGACTCAAAATGCCATTTTGAAGGACTTTGGCAACCGGAGGCAAGAATAGCTTGTGGAACACTACTTTGGAGTTGATTCATAGATTTCTAAATCTCTTTATCCTTACTATGTAATTTAATTATGCAAATTACTTTGGATATTAGTACTATGAGTATGAGTAGCTAAACTCATAATCTAGGGTTTTGATGGAACTTGTTGAAGAATGATTTTCTCGTTATGTTAATATAGATTTGCCATAGTATTATCTTTATTTGTTCAACTATATGCTTATTGTTGTTGATTGAAGGGCCCTCAATTAACTGTTCCTATTTAGCGTGCATTACTCGGGAAAGAGTGCATATTTAGGTAGTTGTCGAACATCATCACTCCTAACGTATATGAGGGATCAATAGGAAGGGCTTAAAGGTGGGGTTAGGGATAACGAAACCTTGGGTGCGATCTAAGTGAGTTGTACTTAAAGCTAGCTAGCGTAATTTGGGAGAATATGTCTAGCATATTGTTGTAATTACTCGGGAGAGAGTTACGATAAGTGCTCATGATCGATAGAGAAGACTTAGGCAACTTTATAGCAAACATAGCGGAAAGGATTCCGACAATAGGAAAAATCAGAACCTTAGACCATTCTCATTCTTGCCTACAATTCGTTTATAGTTAGTTCTTAATTATTGCATTTTAATTACATAATATTTAGTTAATAAATATCCAACCTATTACTTAAATATCTTTGAAGATTGAATACGTGAATTTGTGTAAGTTCAATAGATGTGATTGATAGGCTAATCCCCTATGGGATTCGACTCCGGACTTGTAAACCGGAATATATTTGCATCGACTGCTTAGTCCTTTTTATAAGGCATAGTTGGGCGTGATCAAATTTTGGCGCTGTTGCTGAGGAATTAACGATGTTATTGATTGTAGTTAAAAGAAGTGCAAAAATTCTTAGTGTAGTCAATTTTCTTCAATTTAAACTGATCGTTGAAATTCTAATGTTTGTAGTCTTGGTTGTTACAGGTGCATGCCTAGAAACTCCTCACGAACTGGTGAACTGTTTGAAGCATTATCAGATCCTAAAAAAGTTTTCAAGGCATTGAATCGTGCAAATAGGAAAGGCAAACAATAATAGAACTCATCCGAAAAAATCGAACCAGACATGGAAGACGATCATCTAAACAACAGAAACAACGCCAATGACCCAAACGATCAAAGTGTGGTACCTCTTGTGCCAGAAGCACCACTATATGATTGGGCACAACCTACCGCTGACAACTTAGCAACTGTCATTGTAGTTCCTCAAATACAAGCAGATTCATTCCAGATCACAATTATATGCTACATTTGTTGCAAAACAAGGGACTGTTCTGTGGGCCATACGTTGAAGATCCTCAGCAGCATCTGAAGAATTTCCTATCAATCTGTGCCACGTAGAGGCAACATTACATGACACCGGAAGCAATATGGCTGTTGTTGTTTCCATTCTCAGTGACGGGAGCATCTCAAACTTGGCTTAATTCACTCCCCATAAACTCCATCACTACTTGGGAGGGATTAGTCAAGCAATTTGTGAACAAATTTCACCCACCCAACAAGACTGCTCAGCAAATTGATGAGATATTGAGCTTTAGATAAAAAACAACAGAGACGTTACAAGAAACATAGGAGAGATTTAAGAGTCTGTTGGTTACTTGTTCACATCGTGGTATTCCGGAGCAGATATTGGGGTAGAGGTTTTACATGGGTTTGGCAGATAGCTTGAAAGCCAATGTCGAAACTTCAGCAGGTGGAGCATTTTTAGCAAAACGTTCAGAGAAAGCAAGATCCTACTTAACAAGATAGCACAAAACTCAGGATGGACGACAAGAAACGCTCCAATAACTCATGTGGTTCACTTAGTGGCTTTAGACCCGACTAACTCCATAGCTGAAAATATGGCCACTGTATTGACACAAATGAGCATCCTCACCAAAAAGGTTGATGAATCAGGACAGAAGCAGCAGGTACACATAGTTGATGCAACTAATGGGGGTTTATGTACATCATACATTAATCAACCATATGTGGAGTGCTGGAGGTGATAACCAACAATATTAGGAGAACATGAATTATGTGGCCAACTACGGAGGACCGAGACCAGGTGGTCAGAATTGGGGTCAGCAACAAGGTTACAACCAACAAAATCAGCAGCCGGTTTATCAACAACCTCCATAACAACAGACTGTGAGACATGAAGATGGGTTTGCTAAACTTGAGGGAATGATGCAACAAGTAATTGGGTCAACCGAAAAACTAACCGACAGAGTAGACTCACATGAGTCAGCAATAAAGAATATTGAGATCCAATTAGGACAGATTTCCATGGCCTTAAATAATCGTCCTCATGGGATGTTACTTGCAGACACCCAAATCAATCCAAAAGAGCATGGCCCGAAGCAGCTGATGGCAGTGAGTCTCTGAAATGGTAGAGACTTAGATTTGGAGCAAGAAATTGCTCGTGAAAGCAGACCGACGGAGACACTGGTGCCAGTACCCGTTGAGCTAGACAATTCAGTAGGGTTAACTGAGGTGACGATATAGCATACGCAAGAGAACACCAATAAAGAAGAAGAGGTTGTGAAAGAGATGGAGGTTGCACCAGAGCCGATAGTAGAAGCAGTGACTGAACAAGAGAAAAATCAAATCACAAGGTAGAAGCGACCTCCAGGACCATTCCCATAGAGATTGGACAAGTATTAGAAAGATGAGCAGTACAAGAAATTCTTGGAGATGTTGAAGCAAATTCAGGTAAACATTCCATTGATTGATTCTTTAAAGGAGATGCCTGGTTATGCGAAGATGATGAAGGACTTGATGTCCTGCAAGTTCGACTTTCAAGACTTGGCCACAGTTACTCTGACTCAGACCTGCAGTGTTGTTGTGATGTTACCCATAGTTGAGAAGTTGTCTAACCTAGGTAGTTTCACAATCCCTTGCACCATAGGCAACTTTGCATTTGCTAAGGCACTGTGTGATCTAGGAGCAAGCATAAACCTTATGCCCCTGGCTATCTACAAAAGGCTAGGCATTGGAAGAGTTAGACCCACGTCTATGTTACTACAGCTAGCTGACCGAACAGTGAAGAGGCCCTCTAGGATTCTAGATGATGTATTGGTACAAGTTGGGAAGTTTGTATTTCCAGCATATTTTGTCATCCTTGACTGTCGGATTGACGAGGAAATCCCCATAATTTTGGGAAGACCATTCTTGGCCACTAGGAGAGCTTTAATTGATTGTGAAACTGGAGAGCTCAAGATGAGATTAAACAATGAATAGATAACATTCAATGTGCAAAAATCTATGCGGAGACCAAGTGAATTTGCTAATTGCTCTCTAATAGATGCGGTGGATGTAGTTTTGGAGGAAGAAGATGAGGCATTGAACATTAAAGACCCTTTAGCAACTTGTCTCATGAACTTAGATGAAGCTAATGGTGAAGAATTAGCATAGTGGGTACTTGCTCTTGAAGGGCAAGGTTTTTGGAGAAGGGAGCTCGAATTTGAGACCTTGCATTTAGAGGAAAGAAAAACTCCTTCAGCTAAGCCATCAATAGAAGAGCCACCAAAGTTGGAACTAAAACCACTGCCATCTCATCTCAGGTATGCATTCTTAGGACCTAACTCAACTCTACCCGTTATTATCTCATCCAGTTTGTTAGATATGTAGGCAGAACATCTTTTGCAGGTACTGACTAAGTGCAAGACTGCAATTGGGTGGACCGTTGTAGACATAAAGGGGATTAGCCCGGCTTTCTGTATGCATAAGTTTTACTGGAAGATGGGTACAAACCTTCTATAAAACATCAAAGAAGGCTGAACCCCAACATAAAAGAAGTGGTAAAGAAATAAGTAATCAAGTGGTTAGATGCGGGAATCATATTCCCCACCTCTAACAGCAACTAGGTTAGCCCAGTTCAGTGTGTACCAAAAAAGGGAGGTATGACGGTAGTGAAAGTGAGAAGAACGAATTGATCTTTACACGAGCAGTCACAGGTTGGCGAATCTGTATGGATTATAGGAAGTTGAACTTGGCTACCAGGAAGAACCATATCCCACTGCCATTCATTGATCAGATGCTAGATAGATTGGCAGGGAGGTCTCAATTTTACTTTCTGGATGGGTACTGGGGGTATAATCAGATTTCTATTGCCCCGGAGGATAGAGAGAAAACGTCGTTCACCTGCCCTTATGGAATCTATGCTTTTCGGCGAATGCCGTTTGGCCTATGTAATGCATCCACCACATTCCAAATGTGCATGATGGCTATCTTCACAGATATGGTAGAGGAGATAACGGAGGTTTTCATGGATGACTTCTCAGTGGCGGGGAACTCATTCGATGATTGACTTGTGAACTTGAGAAGAGTTTTGAAAAGGTGTATCGAGACTAATCTGGTACTCAATTGGGAAAAGTGTCATTTCATGGTGCAAGAAGGCATAGTCTTGGGGAACCAAGTATCAAGTAAAGGTATTGAGGTGGGTCGTGCAAAGGTTGATGAGATAAAAAAGCTTCCACCACCCACTTCTGTCAAAGCAATCAGAAGTTTTCTTGGGCACGCCGGTTTCTATAGGAGATTTATAAAAGATTTTTCCAAAATTGCTAGCCCCTTGTGTAAATTACTTGAAAAAGATCACCCTTTTGTGTTTTCTGATGACATGGTGTAGCTTTTGAGGAATTAAAGAAGATACTGGTAACATCACCTATCATAGTTGCCCCCAACTAGGAACAACCATTTGAGCTGATGTGTGATGCGAGTGACTATGATGTGGGAGCAGTTCTTGGGCAGCAAAAAGATAAAATTATGCATCCAATATACTACACAAGTAGGACACTGAGTGGAGCCTAGCTAAATTACATTGTGACGGAGAAGGAGATGCTGGCAGTGATGTTCGCATTTGACAAGTTTGGGTCATACCTGATAAGTTCGAAGGTAATTGTTTACACTGATCATGCTGCTCTCAAGTACTTAATCGAGAAGAAGGAGTCAAAATCGTGCCTGATTTGATGGGTGCTACTGCTTCAAGAATTTGATTTGGAAATCCATGACCGAAAGGGAATGGAGAACCAAGTAGCTAATCATTTGTCTAGGCTGGAAGGAGCCAAGAAGAAGATTGAGATAGAAGAGATTCTGGAAACTTTCCCAGATGAACAACTACTAGCCATGACTCTCAAGGAAGCGCCATGATATATAGATATTGCAAACTACCTAGTGAGCGGTATTGTTCCTTATGATCTTTCCTCTATTCAAAAGAAAAAGTTCTTTCGTGATTGTCACATGTATTATTGGGATGAGCCTTATCTGTTCAGGATTTGTGTTGATAACATGATCTAGAGATGTATCCCCGAGATAGACCAGTCTTCTATTTTACAGGCATGTCACGCGTCACCATATGGTGAGCACTTCGGGGGAGTAAGGACAACTATGAAAGTCTTGGAGTCGGGCTTTTACTGGCCAACACTGTTCAAAGATGCACATTTATGAATAAGGGATGTGATGAATGCCAACGAATCGGGAACATTTCCCGCAGACATGAGATGCCCATGAACCCAATTCAGGAGGTAGAAGTGTTTGATGTATGAGGGATCGATTACATGGGGCCTTTCGTCAGCTCATATGGCAACAAGTACATACTCATCGCTATAGACTATGTGTCCAAATGGGTAGAAGCTGCAACACTCCCTACAAATTATGCAAAAGGGGTAATTGGTTTTTTGAGAAAGAGCATATTCACCCGATTTGGCACCCCAAGGGCAATAATCAGTGACGGAGGCACTCACTTTTGTAATAGAGCCTTCACGAAGGTATTGGAAAAGTATGATGTACGCCACAAGGTGGCCACCCATATCATCCACAAAGAAGCGGGCAAGTGGAAGTCTCGAACAGAGAAATAAAAAGTGTGCTGACTAAGACTGTGAATGCTACTAGAACAGATTGGGCGAGGAAGTTAGATGATGCACTTTGGGCTTATCGAACCGCTTTCAAAACTCCAATCAGCATGTCGCCATACAAGTTGGTATTTGGGAAGGCGTGTCATTTACTAGTAGAGTTGGAGCATAGAGCTTGGTAGGCGTTGAGACAGTTGATGTCGCGCCCTCTTTTTTCCCTCCGCGGAGAGAGAAGTCCGGGTTTCGACATTCATAGGGTAATAACTCGTTTCCTTTTGGGATTTGGGTTTTTGAAGAGTCGCCACCTAACGGATTATGGTGCGTTAGGGCACCTAAAGCGATTAACTCTTAGACTAGTTTGCATTACTAGACCTTGAGAGGAAGGTGTTAGGCACCCTCGCGGTTCACAATGGTAGGTCCCGACCGAACTTATACTTATGAATTAGTTCTTTTAACAAATAAATAATTTAAGCACATACTTTGCAAATAAAGACATATTTTTGGATATTATATGAACTAAGAAATGAGACAAAAGGAAAAGACTTTGAACAAGTTGCACATATATAGAGAAAAGTAAAGTTTAAACATCAGGAATTGGGAAAGAGGGGTCCTAGGTTAGTTAGCCTACAAGATCACCCCACACAATGCCCAGTAAACACTCCTCAATGAGGGGCTACACGTGACATTAGCGCGTAGTCATCATATCCTTACTATCCAATTCCATCCCCTTGGTCATAGCCTAAAGCGTTATAGTAGCTTTGAAAAATGTCCTATGCGTGCACTACCATCCCCTTCCTCGTGGCCTTGGAGGTATTCTAGGACCTCTAATTTTGGGCAATTCTAGACCATCCTAAGTTATTTAAAGGAGAAAAGTCTAGGCTCCAATCAAAACAATTCGATCTGCACATAAAGAAGGAATAAATAGCGGCTCACATTTTTACCTCCACAAGTAGAACAAATAAATGCACGTCTCAAACAATTATTTCAGGTATTTAATAAAATTTAGAACATGATGTCTAAGTGAGCAGGAAGTATACAACATGAATTAGGACCAAGTGGCAAAGACCTATTAGCTTGCCTACTGATTTTAGACCTGTTAAATCTGGGCAGTCTCAAATAACAAAGCACAATTTTATAGTTACAGAGATCCTAAGCGCATAACAGTGGTGTCCTAAAAGCATGATATCCATATTGATTAGGAATGCAGTAAAACAGTGAATAGTTTTTAAACGGGTGACTTGTTATCCTATAGACATGTTTTCTAGCGGTTCTAATTTAAAGCAGTGTTTTAAAACTTATTAAAGAAACGGACAGATTAATTAATTAAACCAATTCAGAATGAACAAATATGAATTAAACTGATTTATTTAGCTAAACTGGTTTTAAGCTCTATAGGCATGATTTCTACTAGAGCTGATTTTAATTCCTATAGGCAGGTATCTTATTATTAAAAGCTGACTCTTGAACTAATAGGCATGATTTCTTAGAAGACGAATGTAAATACATGCTGTAACGGAAACTGAACCTCAATTGCTTTATACTCTATAGGCATGATATCTAATTATAAGGCTGATTTTAACCCTATATGCATGATCTCTATTATTAAAGCCATTTAGATCCTATAGGCATGATTTCTAATATTGTGGAAAGAAAGCAAACATGGCAAACACATTGAATTAACACAACCCAATAGACATGGTATCTACCCAAGTTACCGAACATATATATAACTACCCACCCTTTTCCACTAATTACCCCAATGTTGTTTACAATAGTTATTACAAACCAATGAATTAAATACATAAATAAACAGAAGTTAATCTATAGGGGGCCTGCAATAGGCCCAAATGACTTCCAAGCCTTCAATAGCCTCAAATACCAAAGTTCCATAGCCAATTCGTGTCCAAGTGTGGCAGAGTTCCCTAAGGATCTCAAGGATCCCGGGCAGTGCTTACACCTAGACCTTTTCTCAAATAATAATTGATTTAGGTGCAGTGTGGAAAGGCCAGCTCTAACATTCCAGAGTTCAGAGAGATCTCAAAGACCTTAAGGCAGTACACATATCAGAGGGGCAGAACCTAGTATTCTAAGAGTAAGGTGAGAGTGCATAATGACTTTGAAAGAGTTTGGGTAAACAGTAGAAAGAAAGTCTTAGTAGTGGAAAGAATTTTATGAAAACCAGAACATAGTTAGAGTAGAAATAGTTTGAGAAAGACATGAAGAATAAAAATCAGAGAGCAAGCCATAGAACACACAAAATTCATCCAAGGGAAAGGGTAGGGGAGACAGCTAGAATGCACCTTAGTGATGGTAAACAAATACACAGATTGTAGTTGCAAAGTTAAGTTGAGAACACACAGAGTTTAGACACAAATAGGATCTCATTAGTGA